AGGCGTCTTGTTCAGCGTGCTGTCAAACCTACACTAGCAAGGAGATCGGGCTGAAACTATAGCTACAAGCTATCCAAGGATGGTACTATAGAATGTCACCTCAAGGTAGGCCTAGTGGCGTCATCTCTTGGTTAGGCCGGAAACTTATCAATCCACCCTCGTATATTTATAGAAAAACAGAAAACCAAACATTCACGATGCCAATTAAAACGCTATAAAAATTCCATCGTTCTCCTTTTCATTTAAAAATTGACTCGAAAAAAAAAAAATATTTTTTTCACTGCCTACACTAACTACTTTAATTTATTTATTATTATAATAAATTCTATACACATATTGTTGAACGCTTTTTCCCCAACCATCCCCGATTACTAAACGGGGCTGAAGGGGATCTTTCGCCGTATCCCCACAACTTGAACCTTTCGTTACTTAAAAGATTGTTTTTGTGTAGGCATTGAAAAAAAAAAAACAAAATAGAAAAAAATGATGAATTATGAATTTCAAAACGATTTTTTTCGTAAAATCCATGATAATGACTAAACTTACTGGGCTGTGTCCTCGTTAACTATGAGTTGTTGGCCCCAAATGGACAACATTGGGTCTACAATGCCTTTGTTAGATTGCGTCTGGAAACTATCATAGCAAGGTATAGATACATTAGAAGCAGCAGGTCGGGGGTCTATATAAAAAGAGGCCGGTTTTGGAGCAGAAGGGAAGAAAATAACGGGGCTCAAGGTATATATGTATGTATACACATGAATATGTACAACAAAAGACTCATTTATATCTATAAACATATAAGTACATATATGTATATGGGCTGTTTTAAATTGTGTTCACTTTTTTTTTTTACGAAAACAATTTACATTTAACAAAATTGGGGAGATATGGAACATAAAATCTCATTATATCGTCCCCTGTTTTTTTTTTTATTAGTGATCAAAGTTATGAAAGTCAGAAAGGGGCTGTTCAAGGATTACGTAACGCTGTTTCTGAAAGTTTTTAACTAATCCTCTCCCCTTGTAACTTTTCGCTTTACTATTCCCTCCAAGTGACCATTTTTGCCTAAAAATGTTCCGCAAAATTACGGAAAGTCTTAGTTTTCTTCGTTCTAATTCGAAGTGGTCTGTATTCTGTCGAAACTGCCAGACGCGGATGGCGATTTCGATCTTTTTGGATCTCATCAGCGCGTCGCAGGCAGCTCCGACAGAACACAGACCAACTGTTACCTGCTGACTTAACAGTGCGTTTTAGAAAATACTACAAATGGCGCAGTAAACGCCATCTGTAGTACGATGCTACATGTTAGGATTACGTATGCTCCAACAAGGTCCATTTAAATATATGGATATCTACTTGCTGAAAACGAATCTCGGCGTAGCCAACCTCAACAAGTGGACCTTGTTGGAGCATACGTAATCCTAAAATGTAGCATCGTGCTACAGATGGCGTTTACTGCGCCATTTGTAGTATTTTCTTTCTTCGTTCTAACAAAAACATAATTCTAAAGTTTTACGAATCGCGCCACTTAATACTCGAACAGTCCCTAATAAGTACCATGTACCATGCAATAAAGAGACAGTAAAAAATCGAGAAATTAGAGTTTGTATATAGGTAGATAAACAATAGTAAAGAACACTGTGCAGCTTGGCCAGTGCTGTGAAAAAACTTTAATAATAATATAAATAATGAAATCCAAACCCGTGCCACTCGACTACCGACAAGGTTACCTTAGTTCCGAAAGAGGTAGAAAATCGATGTCCATCAGGGGCCGAAGGCTGGGCAGACTGTAAGATACCAAGTGTCCATTTGACACGTAGCACACCAAACATACACTCTCTGAAACGAATGCAACACCTACGTAAACTCGAGTAACGATCAACGATTGTACTCCCCGTTACCCTTTATCGTAATCGTTTCCGCCTTCACTACGAAATCAGTGTCGGCTATCTGTTGTCGGTAAATGCACGTTTGAGAAGGCAATCCCACGACCCTCGCCTGTTTTTCGCTCGTTATCACCACGAACTGCCTGTCGCCGAATTGTTCGATGCGGTTCGGGTTCTCTCCCGCCAGCGGCGGACTCATTTTGTTTTGGGTCCTCGTAGGGGTCTCTGTAACAACATCTACTCTATCGTACGCCAATAGTCGCCGATGATGTGTAACATTTGACATTGCTCGAGACCGTTACCCCTAATTTCTGCTTATTACCCTTTTTGGCACCAACCACGAAATTACTCTCATGGCACCGAGCGGAAGTATGTTACACATCAACCAATGACAGAAAAAGAAAGAAAGTGACAAAACTTACTGTCTCTTTTCTCTTTCCACGATTCGTACAAGTACGGAATGAGGGATCCGCTACAGTCCAAGAAGGCCATGGACAAAATAGCGCCTTTCAAACGAAATATGGTGATGCCTACCAGGGAGACGACAACAGGCTGCGAAGATCTGCTGTCCGGACCCGGAGGACTTACCAGGATCGTCAGTACCGAGCCCAGACTCGTCCCGACCCATAGCGAGGGCGTTAAAACGTTAGGCTCTGGAAATTTCGATTTTCTTATCTCGTAGACTTGGCATTAGATCGTTTTCTTATTGGTCACCTGTTTTACGTGAATACGATTCGGCGAATGCCAGGCACTGTATTGCTTCAGACGTGATGTTCTCCAAGGAACTGATCGAACTCGAACGGGACCTCGAAAAGGAACTGTCCAGCTTGTCTACTCGGCCCATAATTAGACAAAACAATCAGCAATCGTTCTTTAATTTTTAATTGCAAAACGACACAGAAACCACACACAATACGGCATTCCATGCAGCCGGGCAGTAAGAAAATTGCACCCAAACAACAAAAAACAATTGTCCATCATTGTTCAACAATCGTGCAGAATATGAAGCCAAAACTATTACAAGCATGATAACAAGCAAAGGGTAGATTTCGTATGTATCGGGCAAAATCTATCCCCAAAAAGGTGCTAATGTTTCAAAAGGCGTCAAGCTTGTGGTCGAATTAAAGGGAAAACAATTATTTTGGGCATAGTTTAGATGTGAACAGAAAAAATTACTCCTTTTTCCTTTGGTGTAACAAACCGAAAAACAAAGTTACAAAATTTTATTTGGTATTTGAACAATTTTAATTTGGACAAGTCCAGTTGGTCATCAGTGTAAATAGGGAATCAAGGGGGGAATTTTTTTATCTCCACTTCGGCTCGTTTTCAGAGCGTAGACCCCACCCCCATATGTAGCATGTGAGTGTTTTTTTTGTTTTTGTCCTTTATTTTCTTAATTCCCCCTGGATTCCCTACTAATGCACCCACTCTTCATAATGACTTAGTCAAAATATATTTGTGTTTAAAAAACTTTTACTATTTAGTTCTGACTTTTGACCGTTTTTCTTTTTTTATAATGCCCAGTTTTCACTTTAATCAGTTCACATCAATCATGCAAAAAGACAATTCGAGCACATCAGCCGATCCAGTCGAATGTTTCGTGTAAATTTGTAATTCCTATAAGTAAGTGTGTATTCCTATTCAATTCAAAGCTCAGATTAGAAACAACGGGGTTAAAACCATTCTTCTGATGATGGACAGTTAATAATGTAGACAATTAATCAGTTAATTAATTAACGTAAACATGCTGTTAATTGTATCATCAGTATTACAAAACGAATGGCATCAGTCAGTAAGTGTGTGAAGAAAAGTACACAAAGAAAAAAGCAATAACAAAAACGGAAAGTCATTAATTGTAAGACTGAAAAAAGATAAATATTACGTTTGATTTAATAAGTAATTATACAAAAAATTATCATGCAACACGTGATTTCTTCATCGCCACAAACTTGTACAGATTGTTTCGAGAAAATAGAATTAATTAAAGGAGGACGAGAGCGACTTCTCCTCCAATAATTCTGCTCCTACTTCCCTCAATCTTTACAAGTTTGTGTTAAAATGGTTTCATTATAGTATCGAAAAAAAGCATCTGTGGGCAGAACTGACTGCCAAATACTTTCGGAACTTTTGGACACATTCAAAGCGGCAGAAAGCAACGACAGATAATTATAATCAATGTTTATGAAGGAGCAGCCAGATTCTTAGATTTATTCTTTTTCGATTTTGTTTTTCTTTTTTTTGGCCAATTAATAGAAAGACGTAACAATAGTTTTGGCTAGTACAAGTCACCTTAGCTGTAACATCAACTTAATGCACTTAACGGAGGGGGGGGTTATAATTTATGGTGGTTACAAGTAAAGACGTTAAACGGTACCATGGATACACAAAAAAAATAAGTGGCGTTTAAAACGAGCCGCGAATGTTGTGTAATACAATGTCATGACGATATAAAGTGTATAAGTATATGAATATTTTAAGGGATGTAGTTTTTCTACAACACAAACTTCACGATACATACAATTGAGTATCTATTACAATATATAGAAAACATCGAAAATTCGAAGGTGATTACTGATTAGAAAAGGAAAAGTGAATGCAAATAGTACATATATATAATAATAATTATTATTATTTTAAAACAGGAATTTAGTTATTCTGAAGGAAAGATATAAGTATACTGTAAGACATAAATACCACAGAAACTCCCAGAAAGACCAGTGTGTAAAAAGGGAAGATGAAGTGATCAAGTGAAGAAGTGCAACAACTCTGTCCAAACATCAATTAATTATTATTTTCAAACGTTTCGACAGAGTTTACTTATATAGATTTCTAATTGTGTTTAGCGTCGTCCAGAGAGAGAGAGTGAGAGAGAAAGAGAGAGAGAATGATAATTATTATAGTAGCAAAGAAAGTGAAAGATAGTTTGTACGTACGTATAGCATAGACGTACATATCGTACATACGTAACTGTGTACGCAGGATGTGACATCTAAAGTAGCTGAAAAAATGGAGAAAAACCTGCCTAATACGGACCTGAACATTTTACGTTAGGTACTGTACTTTTTACATACAGAGATTGGCCGCAAGCACGTTCTAACTCGTAATAGATAGTAAAGGCACTTGTGGTTCGCGTCCGTCCAATCTTTATATGTCCATGAAATGCTAAAGCAACTGCTGAGAGACAAGACCGGAACAAGGGACATTTTATCTTCATCTTCTGACTCCGTTAAGTTAGGAGACGGATTTTTTAGGGGTAAAAGTGTGGAGTTGGCACATGACTTGGATGCCACATCCTGCGAAGACGTATGTAGATACGCAAGTCTAGCTATAGTGAGATTTATCATAATCATTATCATTATTTCCGGTGACTGTACTACCAAAACTGCAATATTGTCGACTGGCGGCCAGCAGTTGCTGCTGTCGTGGCTGTTGTTGTTGCTGTTGCTGCACGGTGGTAGAAAACGCGTTGCAGCCGCTCTCCTCCGAATAACTGGCGGTTGAAAGGCACTTGTGCAGTTTGCGAGTACCTTGCGATCTGGAACGGCGGGGCGGCTCGGCACAGCGGCGGCTCCCCGACTGGGACTGGCCAGAACCAACGGGACACGACGACGACGACGTCGACGAGCCCGACGCCGCGACGACGCCCGCTACTGGTCCACCACCGGAGGCCGATTGCATGGGGCTGATACACACTCCGTTTATCTACGTAACAACCAACACCACCACACTCTTACAACTATCCAACACTAATAATGCCAACATATGTACTAATGTATTACGTGTCATTATTGTTATTATTGCATCTACAACAGGTAGTAGATTTAAGTATACATTAACAATGTGAATTCATATTCTACCCTCTGTAGACTACTTCACATTAACGAGGAAAAATCGTTGTTGCTGTCACGTCCTCGCTGGGAATCGAACCCCGGACCTTTTGCTTTACGCGCCAACGCTCTGATCACTAAGCTACGAGAGGTGACAGCAACAACAGCGACGAAACGCGCCTATAAATTTAGCGTCAACAAGTTTTTTTAATTGCTTTTTCAATTGCAACTTGAATAATTATTAATTTTAACTATTTGACAGTGATAACCAGTGCGTATAGGCACCGAATGCACAGTAGGGGTTGCGTCGGTCCTGGTCCCAAGATTCGTATTAACCTTCGAACTGAAGGCTCATAAAAGTTTTATCGAGTTATAATAAATAAAAAATCGTTGCTTTTTTCCGACACACCCCCCTTCTCATTATTCATCCCTATAATTATCGATTGGGTGTCTACTGTTTTATGTTTAATTAAAGTGTTTCAAAAATGCGATAGGGGAGCGAGCAATGAAGTTTAATTTATTTTAATCGCTTTGTATATAAGTAGATGTAGTTAATAAATGCTATTTTTTTGGTTCGATCTACGATTGGTGCGACAGCTAAATAAGCCCTCTAAATTAATATAAGTAGTATGTATAATATATAAATATATACATATAAAATTTTAATGAGGGGAGGTGGGATTTTGTGATGGGATCGGTGAGTTCGTGAGATCTACTCATTTTTTTTTTTTTGTTAGTTAGCACCCCTACCGATTAACTTGGCCAACAGTAGTGTTCTGAGACAGGCCCTCTTCACAATCTTCAACTTATACCAAAGCCAACGTGAACAACAAAGTCAGAAACCCAACACCCCACGCTGAAAACGAATACAATAAACACGTGGTAGGTACTGATAATGTTAAACAAATGACGAACAATAAAGAAAAATTGAACACAAAACATTTCATATAAAAGCAAAATTAGCCAAGAAGCTGTGACGAAAAACCGAATAGGAAGTTATGTCAGAAAAGAACACGTATACTGGGGTGTATTTTTGTAAGGTATGTATTTATACAGATGGTCCATGATGTTGAAAAAGCTTATGTATGTATGCCGCCCCATTATCCAGTAAAAGATCTGTCTTGTATTATTGTAAAATTAAATGATTCCATAAATGACAAAAGATGATCTTTTACTGAAGAAACAAAGCCGAGACTTGCACTCTATTCTATCAGGACAAGATCCCCTTACCTATTTACGTACCAATTCAATTAAAATAATTATTACGTAACCAACTACACAAAATACAAAAAATAAATGAACAAATATTAATCGAAAAAACGAAAATGATAAAGAGCAAGCAGAAAACCGTCACAGGACTGCGGTAAAAACGGTGCTCAAACACAGCTCAACGTTTTATTTATTGTTATTTTTTTGTTTGTTTTATAAAACTTACTGAAGCGTCTCATTAAATTGCCGGCGAAAGTCGGGTGAGATCCAACGGGATGATGGTAGTTCGCCTCCTCTTTGCCGCGTAAGTGTTTATGCATTTATTTATTTATTATCCGACAGCCCCATCGTCTCGTTCATTATTTCAATTACGATTAATTAAAAAACAGTTCGATTGCTTTCGACTAGAGAAATGAAATCAAAGGTGAATGACTAGATGAAGAAGAGTTTTTCTTTGCAGCGACTGTTTTCGAAACAAAACAAACTAATGGAAAACAAAAACCTGCCCTAACGACCAAAACAAAAAGAAGTGATAGTTGCTGAAGGGTGACAGCGGTAGTGGGTAGCAGCAGTGGTAGGTACTTAGCATGTAGTACTTAGTAGTAAAAAAAATTTTTTTTCTACTAACAAATCACTCACATCTCCTATTGACTGACTATTATAAAACACTAATAAGGATGATAATTCTCGAAGCTTTTCACAACTGGTACCACTTTTTGTCCTTGTATTTCATCATGAGTTCGTGTGCGGTACTAGAAAAGTTCTCAGCCTCGTAGCGCATCCTTTCCGCTCTGTCTTCGAGCTGACTAAGTTTCTCTCCCCTTTCGAGGACCATCTTGTGAGCCCTGCTGATCTCGCTCGTCGACGACGTCACTCTAGCGCCCATATCCTGCATGCTGCCGGGAATGTGTTTCGCGACCGATTTGTTCGCCTTACCGCTCGCTTCACCAACTGAAATTTAACATTCCCGAAAATCCCTCTCTCTCTCTCTCTCCCAAATATTTCCTTTCACTTACATAGCTCTTCTCTGTCCAGCGACCTTATTCCTCCACCGAAAAGACCTTTAAAGAAGCTTTCTTTGGGTGGCTCGGGCATCTCCATCGGAATGAACAAATCGCCCAACATGTTCGAAAGGTTTGAGCTGAGGAAATTGAGGGAGGAGTAGACTTTTGTTTGTTGTTTTTGGACTTCTGCACACCACCACAAAAAAGTCAAAAAAAAAAAAATAGAACTTACCAAAATTCTGAACAAAGGGTGAACTTTTGCAGTTCTGAAGGTGAACATAGATAAAGACCGTTGCCCTTGTTGCTGAAGCAGAACGTTCGGGAGATTCTAAAACGATGACAATCATGGAAAAGAATATTAAAGACGCCCAGGAAATTAATTATCTCGCATAAACATTGTCTATTCCGAACTGGTTACGATTAGAAGAATAATAAGAAATAATAACCATGCATAAAAACTGGTCGTTGTCATGCACAATTACACAGTTAAAAAGTGCAGTGCTTTTTATAGAGTGCCAAGGAAGCCAATTGAAAATCGAGGTGCTGCTTTTGTGTTTTTAACATCGGATAGGTATTACGAATAAATTTCTTTTGGTACCTCAGTTTTTCGGCCCCGTTAATAAAAGTTGATAAAAGCGCCGCTGCATCGTACATATATATATACGAGGGTGGATTGATAAGTTTCCGGCCTAACCAAGAGATGACGCCACTAGGCCTACCTTGAGGTGACATTCTATAGTACCATCCTTGGATAGCTTGTAGCTATAGTTTCAGCCCGATCTCCT